TTGGAAGCTCCAGGTCCCCGGGAGGCCCCGGGAGACCGATGGCCCCAGGGTCTGGCTGTTCTGGGACCCAGCAGCTCCAGGGGTCTGACAACCCTGGGTGTCTAAGAGCCCCGGGTTTTGATTGTCCCAGAGGTCTGGCAGTCCCAGGTGCCTGGGAGTCCCTGGGGTCTGGCAGCCCCAGGTTCTGGCTATATCTGGGATCTGCAGCCTTAGATGCACAACAGCCCTGGGATCTGTCTGACCTGGAGTTCCAGCAGCTCCAGGGGTCCCACACACCTGAGTGCCCAAGGGCCCACGGGTCAGTCTGTCTTGGTGGTCCAGCAGCCCTCAGAAGCCTGAAAGCCCCATTATCCATCTGACCCAGGAATCCAGCAACTCCAGGTGCTTGACAGCCCCAGGATCTGGCTGTCCCAGAGGTCTGGTAGCCCCAGGTGTGTGACAGCCCCAGTGTCCAGCTGTCCTGCAGGTCTAGCTGCAGTGATCTGGCATCTCCATGTATCTGGCAGCCTGGACTAGATTGTTGGGAGCCATGCAGGAACACATGGTAGCCAAGTGGTGCCAAGGAAGCATGACCCGGCACAGGAACACAAGGGCTTCAGAGCAGCCACTGGTTAACCCACTGTAAGGACACAGCTGGGAATTGGGGGGACACCTGGGAACCTGCACTGGTCCCACACCTCTGGCCCGGTAGGGCAGCCCAGTCAATAAACCGCTTCAGCTTGACAGTGCAGTAGCACTGAATGGGCTGGCATTTCCTTGGCCACCACCCCGAGCCAGCTGCCTGTTCAGCTCAATGGTCACTGCAAGCGATGCCCCAAGCTTCTCTGAGCTCCTGGGACATCTGATAGTGGTATGGGGAAACTGTGGATGAGGACACCCTGGCCATCTCCCCCATGGTGGCACAAATGCAGCTGAATAGCTGCATCCATCTCTTGTGAAGTGCTGGCTGCTTGCAAACTAAGAACTGTGGAAGGTGTACGGACAGTGCATCTCCCATGGAGCTGGCTCTGAGGGTCACATACCTCTGGGGCTCTCCTGTGGATGTGGAGCCTCCGTCCCAGCAGGCATGAGTTGGGCAGCACCATTTTGGAGAGGATTAGGGAGTTTTGGGTGGTGTCCTGAGCACCTTCCCAGCCCAGGGATCCCTGCATTGAGCAGAGAGTAAGTGCATTTGGTGGGTTCTCACCACTTTCGGTTTTTGCAGTACTGATGTGCAGGGAAGGCTTCTCTCCTGCTGAGACAGGTGACTCTCAGTGGAAAAGTCTCTAGTGGTCTTACCAGTGGGAATATAACCATTGTGTAGCACTCCCTTTCCCCCTCCTTTTTCCCCTCTGTAGCCCTGGTACGTTCCGTGTGTTTGGCAGCAGCACCAGAAAGCAGCATACCTTGCCCATCTCCTCCTGCCTTCACATCCCTGTCCTTCTTGTCCCATCCTGCTCACAGGAGCAGGAATGTGAAGACCATGGAGGCTCCCTTAGGATGACTCAGCCTCAGGCTGAGCTCACCACATCCCTTTCTGTCAGGGAAAGTGGGATGGGGAGGGGTCAACTCCAAAATTAGGCAGGAATCTGGGCTTGGTGGTGGTATTCCCATGCCTCCTCTGGCAGTCATGCCCACCCAGAGATTTTAGTCCTGCTCTGGCTCTTTCCATCCTAGGATCCCCTCCTCATAGTGCTGAGCAGCCCTGGTGCTCCACTGCCCCGGTCATGATGGGGCAGGACAGCCTCACGCTGCCTCACCTTCCCCATGCCGGTGCTTTGTGTGAGGATGTGTTTGCTTTTGGATGGTTTCTGGCTTCTATAAACTTAACTTCTCTTCCTCTTCACCAGCATACAACATACTCCAGCTGCTCTGTTTTCACCAGTCTAACTCACAGAAGGGGTTGGGCCATAGCCAGGGAGATAAACTGGTCCCTCAAAAGATGCTGCCAACTAGTGTAAGAGGCTGGAGAAGCTGAGGGCTGGCTGGTGCTGCCAGGGCGTGGGGGATTGCACAGCCCACAGTTACCAGCCACTCATCCCTCCTCTCCCTGTGATCCTGGCAAGGCTGCTGCCCATGCAGAGCATGGCCCATGCTTTCGATCACACTCCACTTGCATTTCCTGTTTCAGACTCTGCCATGTGTCTGTCTTCTGTGGAACTGTTTTTGGAAAAATACCACAGAAAAAAGGAACTCCAGAACTATAGTATTTCTGAACACAAAACTCAGGGAAAAGATGCTGTTTTGTCAATGCCTCAAAAATCCCTGTGGCTGCTTTGGTGGGCAGGACTGCATGGAGGGGCATGGGGTGTCATAGGATACCCTGATGTGGCCAGGCTGCCCAGATGGTTGCTGCAAGTATATGGGCTCTTTCTCCTTCCAACTCCCCCACTGCTGCAGCTAGCATCCTTGCACACAGGAATGCTGCAACATGGCTCCTGGCACATGCACCACCATTCCATGCCTCCTCTTCCTCCAGGACAAGCAGAAAGCACTGTTCAGCAGCAAGAGTTAAAACTGAGCAGGGTGGGGAAAGCCTGGAACACGAGGTAGGGGTTGTTTGTGTCAGTGCACCCAGAAATAGAAGAGGCAGTTACTGTTTTCTGGCTGAGCATGGGTACAGCTGTGCCAGGGAAGGTTTAGGCGGGATATCAAGGAAAAGGTTCTTCCCCCAGAAGGTGGGTGGGCACCGGAACAGGCTCTGCAGGGCAGTGGTCATAGCCCAAAGGCTGCCAGAGCTCAAGGAGTGTTCGGACAACGCTCTCAGGCACATGGTGGGATTGTTGGGTTTTCTTGTGCAGGGCCAGGAGTTGGACTCGATGATCCCTGTGGGTCCCTTCCAGCTTAGGGTATTCCATGCAAGGTTGCAGGGAACCAGGGATTTGGAGGTTTCAAGGACATTCAGTACCTTGGGTGTTCAGGAGGCAGCACTCTGCACCCATACACAGCCTCTGCAAACAGCAGCACATAACACCTCCAAGCCGGGTTATGGAGTCATCTTATCATGGGAAGGGGGTTAACTACAAAAAAGGAGGGTCAAGAGGGGCTCCTCCTGCCATAGTACACAGATGTCTGGGGGTCTTTGCATAAGGTCCTAATGGATTACTTCTGCATCCAGAATCCAGCAGAGCTCAGGCTCTGGGGCACCGGTGTGCTGCATGCCACTGCAGCAGCATCCTGCAAGGGCTGGAGAGGCAGCCCAGTGTCTGGAGCATCTCCCCTCTTCCCTGAAACACAAGGAGCCCAGCTGCTGCCTGCATCAGTACCGTTTTTAAATTCCAGCAGCCCCGGCCCTGTGCTCCAGCAATGCTCCCTGCTCTGCTCCAGTTGTTTTTTAAGGCAGGAGAGTCTCAGCTAGAGAAAAGGCAGAAGGTGAACAGCTCTGGAAATCTAAACATCATCCCTCTGAGGGACTGATCCAGGGAAAAAGGAGACAGTGCCACAGTTTTAGGCAGGGAATCCCAGGCATGCCTGTGGTCATGCAGAGCCCAGGAATAACTGGAGCTATGTTGAGGTGTGAAAGCCTGCAGGGTGCACATCCCCCAAAAGCAGGTCTCAGGGCAGGGAGAGGCTCTCCCATGCCACACCCTCCTCTGCAGGTAGGAGGAGGCTCCAGGGCTTCCAGCTCCTCTGAAGCCCATCACAGGCAGCTCCACAGCTTCTCCCATCCCTAGCCCAGGAAGTTTGGCCTCACTCTGTACAGCCCACCTCTGGCTCCTTTCCCCAAGCCCTGGCTCTGGTCAAAGTGTGCAGCTGGAGGGCCAAGAGCAGCACTGACCCCTCTCTGAGATCAGGGCAGTGCCTGGGGACAGGTGGCTACCCAATAACTCCAAGGGAGAGACAGGAGCAGGAACAGTTGTGATTTAATCATCTCCATTCTCTGCAAATCCAGTGTACAGCAGAGCTAGGCTGTGGTCCAGCTCTGGGTGCTCCCACTGTCCCTGGTCCATCACTGAAGCCAGGGACTGTGGGCAGGGCAGGAACGGCAGAGGGATGGGGCCAGCCCGCTCCCCTGGCCCCTCCTGCTCCACTGGACGTTTGCCTGAGGATGGATAACCCCAGGAGGCTTTGGCTCAGCTTATCCTGGGGGATGGGGGAGAGCCTGGACCTGCCCAGCTCTGATCAGTGCAAAGCTGCTGAGCAGGCAAGGAGTGGCTGTCCTGGGACAGGCAGCAGGGACCGATCCAGCCCTTACACAAGTGTGGAAGGGACAAAGCCCCAGCCCCAGCAGAGGCTGGAGGAGCTTCTGGCTTGTCTCCAGCTTGTGCCCAGGTCACCCAGCCCACCTGTACTTGAGCCCATGGCATGAAGCAGACAGATAAATCTCTCTGCGCAATCCCGCCAGGGGAAAACTCCGGGACAGTGTTCACCAAGGCATGGGGCAGGGCTGGCAGGAGAGCCCCAGCATTGCCCCCTGGGACAGCTGAAGAGGCTGTGGGATGGCAGAGGGACATCCCTGGGGCAGTGCCGGATGGGGCAACCCTGCAGCAGCGACTGCCGGAAGGTGTGTGTGGTTCAGCAGCAACAAGGACACTTCTCTCAAAGGGCAAAGGGTGCTCGGGGGAGCTGCAGCAGAATTGGGATGGGGAATGGTGACAGTGGTTCCGGCTGAAGGCACAGGAGCCCCGGGGTTGGGGTCAGTGGTTGAAGAGGTTTCCTGCGAGAAGGCGCCTCTTGACCTCTTTCCAGAGCAGGTCCCGCTCCCGGTTTGCCCGCTGCAGGAAGCCCCTGTTCTCCTGGGCCCTGCGGGACAGGTAGGGCAGCACCTCGTTCACTGGGCCGTAGGGCACGTACTTGTACACGGGGAAGCCAGCCTGGCCTAGAGGGATAGAGGTTGGTCAGGGAAGTGCCAAGAAAGCAAAAAAAAAAAAAAAAAGTGCAAAAAGGAAAAAGAAAAAAAGAAAAAAAAAGAAGAATAAAGGGAAAAAAGGTGAAAGGGAAGAGGAAAAAAAAGGGGCAAAGGGGAAGAAAGGGGGCAAAGGGCTACAAAAAGGGAATAAAGGGGGCAAGAGGGGGAAAGGGGGGTGAGGGAGAAACAGGGGGAAAAGAGGGAGGAAGGGGGAAAGAGAAACGGGGGGAAGAAAAAGAAAGGGGGAGGAGAAAAAAAGCGCCACCCTCCCTTTCCTGCCAGCTCTCCCACGCCCCTGGGGCTGTGCCGATGGAGCAGGGATGGATGTGCAGGAGTCTGCGGTTGGGCTCTAAGATGGGAATCCTGGAAGCGGCTGAGCCTGTGAGGGGAGCTGCAGCACATCTCTCCCGGCTCAGCAGCGGGAGCTTGGGAAGAAGCCAGGGGGAGCGGGCTGAGGTCACCAGGAGCCCTGGGAATGTCGGCAGCCGGGGCTGGGCCAGCTCAAGGAGCGTTCAACCAGAAACATCAAGTTAACACATTTTTCCAGCATGACCAGAGGAGGCTGCAGACGGGCGGCCAAACCCCGCTTCCGAAGGAACTCCAGGACAGAGCAGTGTCTGTGCTGGACAACTGCCCAGTTTGCCTCCTGCTGCTCTCCTGGCCTTAGGACTCTGCTCTGGACTGGTGTGGGCAGGGGGATCAGTCCCTGACCTGACAGCTGGACCCTTGTGTGTCCCTCTGTCCAGGTCCCTGGAAGTGCTGCTCCACTGCCTGGGCCAGTGGCTGAGGACAAGGCCATGCAAGAGGCTGGTGCCGCCCTGGTAGCAGAGAGTCCAGGACTCAGTGTGCACCTCCAATGGAGCCAAGTGACACCCCCAGACTGAGGAGGTACAGAAGGGGCATGCTATCTGCCAGGATCAGTCTCTGCCCCATTTTAGGGCACTACAATTTCCACTTAGATCCAAAGTGGGAATCTCCCTGCCCAGCCACCATGGCCTCATGGGACTCCAGCACAAAGATGTGATTCTCCACCTACATCCTCACCTACATCTTCCCCAAACCTCATGCAGGGGTCACAGCACTCCCCACAGCAAGGCACTGTGCTCAGCCAGTCCTGCTCTGTGACAGGCCTGGCTCACTCGCTCCTTCCTTTGGACGCCACAGTAGCTGCTCAGGGAGACACCAGGGGTCCAGATGGGGCAGGAGCATCTCTGCCAAGCCCTCCCCACCCCATCACTTACCCAGGGGGAAGGTGATCTGGTCACACATGCCCAGCAGCTGCCCAAAGCACACCTTCTTCTCTGAGGGATGGATCCCAAGCTCCCTCATTCTGCAAACCAAGCCTCAGCATTAGGAGAGAGCAGAGACAGCATGGAGCTCACCTCAGCAGTGTGTCCCACCAGAGGATTGGGGAGCACCTCCAAATAGAACAGCATAGCACTGACCACATTCCAGATGGATGCTGAGATGTAGAACTTGAGGGATTTGTTTTCACAACAGCTCCTGGGTGCTGCACCTCAGCTCCAAGCCCCATCTAAAGCCCTGAATACCAGTTGGGAGCCACGATCCCTCCAGGTGAGCTCAGCGGGGACCTCAGAAGCCACAGCAGGTCTTACCACAGCTTTGCTGGGCCCCCACATCCCTTAAGTCCCTAGTCCCTGCCTTGCCACACTGCCTCCCCGGCACTCACCTGTGCAGGGTGAACTTCACTGTGTCCTCATTGTGAGATGCCACCATCACACTGGCTTTCCGTCTGTGCTTGATCTCCTCCAGGACATAGTCCAGGCACCTGTAAGGCAGTATGGGCCTCTGGTGAGGCTGCCTGTGCCTATTCCCACTGGGGCAAGAGAGGAGAGTGGCTGGAGCTGTCCCCTACCTGTGGTACATCTCATTGGTCTTCTCATAGGTTGGGTTGATGGGATCCTCGTAGCCCAACTGAGCCGCCCTTTCCCGCTCCTGCTCCATATACGCGCCACGGACCAGCTTGGTGCCGAAGTGCCAGCCCTCCCGGCGTGACAGCTCCACGTCCCCTGTCACATTGTCGTAAGCCTCCTACCAGGTGCAAGGGATGGCAAAAGGTCATCACACCGGTGCCACCCCTTCACTTTAGCAGCTCTGCCATTGCATTGGCATGACTTCAGGAGCGGAGATCTCCACCCATCTGCACCAGCAGGTGCTGCAAGGTGCTGGATCTCACCCTCAGGTAGCACTGATAGGTGTTGAAGATTATGGCCTGGTTCCTGTTGAAGCGGCGCTGTGTCTCCACAGTGAGGCGGCTGATGGCTGGCTGGAAGTAGCTCTGCTCTGCGTCCACCATCAGCCTCACACCCTTCTCCATGGCTCTCTGGGCGGTGAATGACACACAGATTTGGCTCATAGGGCTGCCTGCACCACGTCTCCCCCTGTGTCTACCCCAACTCCAGTGCCCCCTCACCTTGGCAAGGACATCCATGCGCTGCAGCACCCGCTTCATCTGCAGATCCTCCTCCTCACTGAAGCGTGAGAGCAGCGGTTCAAGCTGCCCAGTCTGAAACAAGTGCAGCTTTGTGGCACCCTGCCAGCACCCAGCTCTGCCCACCGGAGACACAAATCCCCCTGGAGGGAACCCATCCCCAGGGTTGCTGCCTAACCCAGCCTCACAGCACGCGCCAGCGAGCACGGTGTGACAGGGTGCCCACCCTGCCAGCCCGGTGGATGCACACTGTGGTTACAGCATAGCCAGGCTCTGGCAGCACAGATGCCACCAACACTGCAGCCACCAGCAACCTACTGGGAAGAGCTTAAGACCCACACTCTGCTCCTCCAAACTCCCTGTGGGACCTCTCTGGGGTTAGCATAGTGGGGTACTCACCTGCCTGTTGGGGATGAGCAGAGGCTTGGAGATCTTGGTGCGGCTGTCCAACAGGCTGTTCCAGTCAAGTAGGTCCACAGTGCTGGGAGCAGAGAGTCAAGTCCCTACTGGTGTCTTGCAGGGGCAGGGGGGTCTCTACCAGCTGCCGACCCCCACCAGCAAGCAAGATGCATAACGTGTGCTACCCTGACCTGTCTTGTCACCTCCACCCAAACTTTCCCTACACTTGGTTGCTGTAGAGACCTCCCCTTGCTACTACCACAGGGACAGGGACAAGGTCCCCCAGTGTTCCCACCCTGCTGCACCTCCAGATCCCAGGCACCTTACCTGCTTGTGCCCAGGCTCTCGCCCATGAACCACTCCTGGCTCTCTGCCTTGGTCACAATGCCGAGGTTGGCCAGTGTCTCCTGCCACCAAAAGGAACATCAGGGGCTACAGGGGTCTGCCTGCTTAAGGTGTCACAGCTCAGGGCTGCTCTGGGATCTCTGTGTCCCTGGTCACCTCCTGCAGCACATCCCTGGCAGCACAGCCTCCCTCAGGCCTTCCTGCCTCACCTGCAGCTTCTCCACCTCCAGTTTCATCTCCAGCATTGCCCACCCAGCCTGGCCCTGCTCTGCAGCCATTTGGAGAAAGAACCTCCGCCACTTCACCAGCACCTCCGAGAACCGCACCTGTGGGGACAGAGTTCCAGGTGAGACACCCAGGCTGGAGCCTCCTGTCATGCCAGGGCTTTGCAAGGTCATACCCAGCCTGAGGCAGATGCTGATCTAGAATGGGGCACCTTGGCCAAGCCGAGCAGCACAGACCATCTCCCCTGCCACATCCCCTCATTTTGGGACCTTTAAACCTTTGTGTCTCCCCAAAAGTTGAGGCAGGGTCTGCAGGGGCCTTGGGCACACAGGGAACAGCCTGTTGGTACCCACTTGATGCCACAGCAGCAAGCCTGGCACCTGCCCCAGTAGAAGCATCCTCTGTGGCCCTGGCTTTGCCCCACCTCACCTGGTCACAGCCCTGGAACTCACCAGGAACTGAGGTCTGGCCAGTGCTGTCAGCTTGATGGCAGAGAAACCGTCCTCTGAGCTGCCACCTGGATGGAGCCAGAAGGACAGAGTCAGCCCAACAGCAGGGTACTTGAGCAGGAAGGAGGTACCTGAGATATGGTGGTGGTGGTGGGACTGAGGCACCCCTGTAGTCCCCAACACAGTGGGGCTGCCCAGGACATATGGAGCACTCACTTGAGGCATCGATGCAGCGGAGGAAAGTCTCCATATGCTGGTCACACTTGGCCTCATCTGTGTAGAAATAGGTGTGGGCACCAGTGACCCCACCATGATGATCCCCAAATCCCTGATGGGCTTGGTATTGCTTCTCCTTTTGTTCTGCTCCTGGGGTGGAAGAGGATGGAGATGGGCCATGCAGCCAAGCTCCTACGGAGCTTCTGCCATGGGTGTAGGGGAGAGGGTCTCTGGCTTGGACCTTGGAAGAGCCCCCAGGGCTGACACATGCCCTGCCTGTTCTGTGCCCAAGCAGAAGCTGTCTTTGACGAGGAGTAGGATTGGGCCAGGAATCACACTGTTCCTCATCCAGCTTGTTTTTTGAGGCTGTGGGAGCTGGGTTCTTCTCCCACAACACAAGGCCCACAGTGCCCAGATGAGCTGGACCTTCCTGTCACTCACCTCCCATCTCCTTCTCGGCTGCAGAGGTGCGGGAGCTAAGAAGAGAAACAGGGAAGATAAGGGCCAGGTCAGTAACCCCCTGCAACCCCACACTGGTGGCCAGGGCAGCTCTGAGGCTCCTGTGCCACCATCCTGGTGCTGAACCTGCTCTTCCCTCACCATCCCATCACTGATGGGATCTAGCTGGCAGGTAAGATGCCCCAAACCCACCTGTGGAAGGGAACAGGACTTTACTATCCATCCAGGGAAGACCTGGAGGCCCTGAGGCAGCACAGCGAGGATGCTCTGTCCAAGGGTCCAGAGCTGCTCTCCAAGACCCTATCCCATTGCAAGGACAAGGTCAGCCCTGGTGGGGGCTGGGATGCTCTCTAACCAGCTCATGGTCCTTGCTGTGGTAACAGCAAACCTCAACCCAATGCCTCCCCACCTTGATGGCACCTGCAGCTGGACCATGAAGCACAAAGCTCCTCCAGACCCAGATAGAGCCAAGGGTGTCCCGCTGCTTCAGGACACTCCTCTGTGCCTTGGCATCAGCCAACAACTCACAACGTCTACGCTTCAACTCCAGCTGACCTCATTAATTTTAAGCCCAAGTTTTCCTGCACAGAGATAACAGGGCTCTGGTAGCCTGGGGGATGCGGGTCAAGGCACAAGATACTCCCTGAGCTTGAGCAGCCAAGCCTCCTTGCTGACATCTTAAACCTAGCCACAGACCTGAAGTCTCACCCAGAAACAGGGCCAGCCCCCAGAGAGCAGTCCTGAGTGACAGCAGAGCCATCTCCTCCAGGAGGTCTCTGCCTTGGCATCACTGTCCCAAAACTGGCCGTGCCCAACGAGGGGGAAGCACACTGTGAGGGAAGCAGCAAAGTCACCCATCCAGAGCCAGCAGGCTTGGACAAGAGAGCAGAGAGGCATGTGGCATGGTCCCAGGACATATTGTCCCACATGGAAACCCTGTGACAGGGATTAGGAGTTGCTGGAAGCATAAACAACCAGAAACAAGCCACTCCCTCCAGCTTCCTGGAGCCAGAAACAGCTCCACATGGCTCAAAGTGCCACAAAGCCTGAGAGGAGCTGGGGCAAGAACAGCTGAAGCTCACAGGGAGCAGAAGGCATCACATCTAGCAGGCTCTGCTCTTTGGTTTTGTTCCCCTGAGGACAGGAAAAACAGCTTTCTGGCCCTGAATACAGAAGGTAAATGAAAAGAAGGAGGAGAGATCATACACTTAGAGATGGAATGTGCCAGCAAAGCCCTCAGCAGGTGGAAGGTCCCCTCAGAGCAGACGGTGTGGTGCAGAGAATGGCTTCAGCTAGATACTGCTGTGACATGAGGACACACAGACATGGGTCCTGTCGTACACACAGACATGGGTCCTGTGGACAGGTTCCAGCTGCAGCTGAGGACAGCTCTGAGCCCGAGGCACACCTTGGGCCCAACATCTGAGGTGCTGGGAACAAGTGGCCAGGAGCAAAACCTCCTCCAGCAAAGGCACACAGCTCAATTAGCAAACAGCACCCTTGGAGCTTGGTTTTGTGTTCCCGAAGACAAACACACCCTTCCCAGCAGCATTCCTGCTGCATGACTGCACCAGCCCTTCCTTCATCCCCCAGGGGGCATTTAAAGCAGTGCCACAGTGCTCACTTTGTTCTTCTGCAACAAGCAAAATAAAGGAAGCTCCTTACAGCTGAAGAAATAACTCCATCCTGGATATCAGCTGCTCACTTTGCAATATTAATCTTGGCCAGCAAAGCCATTCCCTTGCCCACCAAGTGCCACTGATCCCGGCTTGTACCTGGCCATCCATTTTGCAAACTGACAGCATGTCTCTCAGAGCAGGACCCATCTCCAGGCACTGCCCAAACACTCCTGGCAGGCTGTACCCAGAAAGGAGCAACCTCAAGGTTGAACTCAGGACCTGAGAGCTCACACTTGCCTGAAGCAGGTTATGAGGACTTGCCACAGCCCGATGGATGGTTGGGAAGTGTAATCCAGCTGACACAGCATCCAGGGGCTTTCAGGAAGTTTTGGATTAGGCTAAATAAACCATCTCAGGAACAGCACAAAGGAACGCTGTCAGAAATAATCCCTTTGGCCTTGGAGGTTACCCCGAGGGTGCCAGCAGCACAGTGTGTTTGCTTCGCTCATCAGCAAATGGGTCTGGCAAAGTTATCCTGAATGACCACATCAAGGAAAAAAACTCATGGTTACAAAAAGTCCAGAATAGAGCTATAGGAGGTGCTTAAAATCCCACAGGTAGGAATAAAGCAAAGCTCTTTGCAGACTAATCCTTCAACCTGCTCCATGAATGAGTTGCCAGCACACACCAGCCCAGGGCCACCACAGGACCTCCTTGGAGAGCTTCAGGCTGAAGAGAAGGCACCCCATGATCCCAGGGACATGCTGACAGAGCACTGGGCAGGGGTGGCAGCAGCTCTGGGAGCAGGAGAAGAGGAGGTGGCAGCTCTGGGAGCAGGATTGGCCAGGCTGGATGGTGATGCCACACTGGACCACCTATCAGGTGTCCACACAAGGAATCTCTAGAGGAAGCCAAGTCCACGTGCTACATGGCAGAGCCTGAACAGCATCTGACAATGCTCAGGGCAGGACTGTCTCTCCCTGTGTTAGCACAGGCCCAACCCATTTCCAGTCTTGGGATGCCTGCTGGCCAGCATGGGCCCCAAGGTTGCTGACTATAATCACCTCCACTATGGAGGGGGACTGTCTCTTTCATCCCATGGGTACCAGAAGCCCCTGCCCAGCTGCGGCACTGCCTCTCCAGCCCCCACCCAGGCTGGCACCCACGTCAAAGCCCCCAGCCCACAAGCAGCATCCAGGCTCTTTTGCCTGCAGCACACTTATTTTGCAGCTGTGTCACCATGACCTGGCAGAAGCCTTCAGCACGTTGCTGAGGCCTCCTGGGACAAGCTGGTAGAGCCCTGGATGCTAGCCTGGGCAGGGCAGGCAGGAGCCTGTGGCGGGCAGGATAAGCCAGTTCCTGCCCACATTGCATTGCTGTTCCCAGGTGGAAAGCCTGTGGAAAAGGTGGACACAGCCCATTGGTGGGGCAGAAAGGGTATTTCCCTGCCATTGTCTCCAGCTTGCTTCAGAAGAACAACAGAAGATGGCACCAGGAGCCCCAAAGACCTGCTGCCTGCTCCTGGTTTGTGCCTCTGTTTCCTGGTTGGCAGCAGGGTCCAAACCTAAAGCATTCACAGGGACACAGCTCCAGAGCTCAGCAGCCACGAGCCCAGGATTCCTCACCCCTCTCAACCACGTGCAGCCCAACTCAGCACCAGCCCTGGCAGAAACACTGAGAATTTGGCATTCTGCCCCAAAGAGAGCCAAGGAAGACCCAGAGTAAGGGTAGGCAAGGGGCAGGGTCCAACACAACCCTTCCAATGCCACCCTGGGCTTTGTCCCCGCTCCGTGACAACCCTGGGTAACCTCCAGGATGGCATTCATAGAATCATAGAACATCCTGAGTTGGAAGGGACCCACAAGGATCATCCAGTCCAAGTCCTGGCCCTGCACAGACACCTCAACAATCGCCACCCTGTGCCTCAGTGTTGTCCAAACACTCCTTGAGCTCTGGCAGCCTTGGTGCTGTGCCCACTGCCCTGGGGAGCCTGTTCAGTGCCCAACCAGCCTCTGGGGGAAGATCCATTTCCTAATATCCAGTCAAATCCCACTGGGGCTTGGGCAAGGATGCATTGGGGAGTGCAGAGAATGGGCTTTGCAAACTCTTGGGTGTGAATGGCCCACAGAGCACAGGGCCATTGAGGATCTAGCAAAGAGTACCACACATGTGACCGCCAAACCTGCTGCGGGGGAGACCAGCACAGTCGAGTCAGCTCACAAACCACTGGCACTCATCAGCAGGTAGGATACAGGTGCAGGCAGAGCCTGCCTGTGAAAGTCTTTTGGGGTCTCCCACAGGAAAGCCCTTGGCACAGGCACAGGCAGGCATGGAGGGGAGCAGTGCCAGCCTGGCAGCACTGGCATTGCCAGCTCACCCCCACGGGGAAGCTGAACACTGTGCCTGGACCATGGCTGCATGTGCAGGGAAGAAACACCACTGCTACACATCTTCAAAACAGCCCCCCACTGCCAGGCCGCAGTGGGGGGATGTTTTGAAGTTTTTATATAAAAATATGAAGTTTGTAGCCCAAATTGGGATGGTGCACCTCTGCTTCCCCCCGTCCAGCTCCCATGCCAGCGCTGCCCTCACATGCTGCCTGCTCCCATCCTGGCCCTTCAGTCCCAGGGGATGTCTGGCAGCAGCGGCGAGGAGCAGTGCCACCCACCACCACGGCACATCAGGGTCCCCGATAAGCAGCGCCCGGGTGTGGAGCAGAGATAAGGCTCCCAGCGGCAGCACCTGTATCATCACCCTGACACGCGCTGCACTCACAAACGACCCCAAAAAGCCGTTTCCGCTGTGTTTTTACCATCACGTAACAAACACGTGACAGGCATGTGACAGCCGGACAGTGTCCCCAGCTGCGAGCAGGGACATGGCGCTGTGCAGGCTTGCCCGGGGGTCGGTGCTTCCCCAGCCTGTGGCCTCTGGCAGGGCCACCCTTGTCGTGGGTGGGGAGACACCGCCCACCCCCGTGACCGTGAGGTGCCGGCCAGCGGCACATCGATCCAGAGAGCGGAGCTGCCCGGAACTGGAGCCCGAATAATGGAAAGTTACCGGCAGCTTTGGGCTGGTGCCCGCTCTTGGCAGAGGCCAGGAGGCAGGGAAGGCTGCCCAGGACGGGGGAGCAGTGAGAAAAGAGGGGCATCACCCCAGTTTGAGCGGGTTGGAACTAGTGGGGGAGTGGAAATCATGGAATTGTTAAGGTTGGAAAAGAGGTCCAAGATCATCATCCAGGAAAATGTGGGGTGGCACACCCCAGTGTTTGTATGGTGGGGGATATGGGAGCAGGAATGGTGGGCAGCACCCCAGTGTGGGGAAGAGGGGAGACTACAGGGGTGACAGCAACGCACTGTGTGCAGAGTGGTGGGGTGGGATGGGGACACAGCACCCCACTGGGGCTAGGGAAAAGTGGGACATGGTTGGTAGCACCCCAAGGGGAAGATGGAATGGGGGGTCCAGCACCCTAGAGGAGATGGGGCATAGAGGTAGTAACCACCTCAGGGTGTGCAGGAGGGTTGGGGGGGGCTACAGCACTGCGGAGCGGGGGCAGGACCCCGGTGTATGCAGACCCATAGACGGGAACAGAGGGGGTGCAGCAGCCCGGGGGGCAGTACCGGGTGTGTGCAGAGGGGCTGGAGCAGGGACACACCCCATGGGGGTCACAGCCCCCCGTGTTCGGG